CATTTAAATCCAAGTAAATACCTTTAATAAGTGGTGATAACGTTTGCAGTAGTTTCAGTAGCAGTTCACCCTGCGTAAGAATCAACCAATCTACTTTCATTCAATCTGATATTGGCTTTGGAAATTTGTTTTCTTATTGATACTGCCAATATATAAAATAGTGCAGGTTTAGTTAAAATGGGCTCCCAAATTCAATAGTAATATTAAAGAGCAATTAATAGAATATTGCCTTTTTTTATAGTTACGGATTAATTAATTAAATACAATAGGAAGAAAATTTTAAATACCGCTTTAAGTATGATTTTCCAATTTGTTGAATGCCGATTCGTATTTTTCTCTTGTCTAAATAATCATATGATTTTGATCTTTTATTATTATTTAAGTGCATTCCAGCGTCAATGACCTATGGGCCATTCATTCTCAATTAGAAATGTGTTTTATTCTTCAGTGATAATTAACAAGTGAAAAAGAACTGTGTAAAAAAGTACATTATAGTTCCTTTGATCCCAGTCATAGATTTTGTTTCAAATTACAGAATTACAGATAGTTAGCTTACATGACTTTATTAGTTTATTAAGGTTTTTTGCAATGTACCTGGTATGTAGATTTATATCTCATAATTGTTTGATTTGATTTAGGAAGTAACATTGGCTATGGACCAATTGTAGCGAGGGTGTCACTTGCTAAACAATTTCAAATTTTGGTCAATATCCTGAATCGTTACAAAATATATCCCACAAGTTTCCTATGTGGTGGGTGTCGCATCAAGAAATTTGAAACTAAATTGTAGAATGTTATTAGAGAAATGTGTGAACATTTTATGTCAAGGTTACAAGAAATTCCTAATCAAAAAATAAATATTTGAATTCAAAGAAAAACTATAATAAGGAATGTTTTTCGTAAGATTCAATATAAATTTTAATTTCTTTGTCTCATGATTTCAGTGAGTTTGCAGTTTGCTTGTACAGTATTTTCCAAAAATTGATTAAAATTTAGGTCAAATGAGAGTGATATTATTTGACATCTTTTATCCAATGAAAAGTTTTTTAATAGATAAGGGTTGATGAATGTCATTTGAAGACAGGGAATCTAGACAAAGTTATCTCAAATAGTATCCTTGATTAACTAAAATAGTTTGTTATGATTTGATATGTAAATTTTTTGTGTGGTTTGATATCATGAGGTGGCAGGTCTTCGCAACGTGTCAGTTGGGATTTATCGCTATAATCAGATGTTGGTGCCAACAGAGTCTTACCCTAGAACAACTGGAGTTCTTTTGACCTGGTATTTTCCAACAGCTGTGGAGACCCTAACTAGAGATGTCCTCTACACCTGACACAAAGAGATGTTTATCACTGGATGAAGCTCTCGAAAGAATATAGAGAAATACGCCTGATGATAAGCATATTGGTGATGTCATAGAAGGGTAGAAGCAATAAACTCGAGTCATGTGATGCAAAGACGTCATATTTTGACCTTTTCACCGGGGTCTAAGTCGACCCCAGCTGTTGGTAGGTCTCTTGAGATAAACGTTTTTTAAGTAACCCCGTTAAAATTGCTGATTTTGCTCATGTGAGATTCATATTGATGAGATTCACATGATAATTCTGTGTATCCACCGTCTTATTGGTTCTGCTCTGTCGTCATTCACTCAACGTGCCATCACTCGTAGAAGCTGCCACTATAAATAGATGCCAACTTACCCCTGACTTTTTTCCAGCCGTAAATAGGTTCCTACGTCAATAGATTTGCTGACTTTGACTTGTGGTTAAGGTTCTTATGCATTCATTTATACCTGCCCTGGGATTTTAACAAATCCCTGGATGCTTTGCAAATACTTGTACTACCCCTGACATGTATTAGTATTTGCCTTATTGAATAATTCATCAGCTTGTTTAGAATGCCTTTCAGAGGTGTGCTACATTGAAATTTTCATGAATACCAGTGTAAAGAATTTCAATGAAATGACTTGGCTTGAATTTTTAAATTTGATTTTAGTAATTGATTGATGTTCAACATTGAACATGCATGCTTCATGTTGATGCTCCCCCAAGGAACATGCATGCTATACATTGATGTTCCCCAAGGAACATGCATACTACACATTGATGTTCCACAAGGAACTTATACATGTTTCACATTGATGTTCAACATGAAACTTCTAAGCTGCAGCTTAACATTGATGCTGTACAACAACATACAAGCCTCATATTGATGTTCCAAAAGGAACATACATTGTTAACACATTGATGCTTCACAAGGAACATGCTACACATTGATGTTCCACAAGGAAAGTACATGATTCATGTTGATGTTCCACGTGGAACATAACATGGTTCACATTGATGTTCCATAAGGAACATACATGCTACATATTTATTTTCCAAAAGAGACATCTTTATTCACATCGATGTTCCACATGGAACATACTTGCTACACATTGATGTTCTACAGGGAACATAGTTGCTACACATTGGTGTTCCACAGTTAACATACACACTACACATTTATGTTGTACAAGGAACTTGTTTCGTATTGATGTTACACCTGGAATGTAATACATGCTTAACTTCAATGTTCCACATGCATGTTCCATAAGATATGTATCACTTGATGTTCCACAAGGATCCTGCATGCTTGAAGTTGATGCTCAACATGGAAATTGGATGACGTATTATGAGGAAGTGTAAAGAAACCTTTGGAAGAAGTCCCAAGTACATCTTTGTCCCCAAGTTCACCTTCATGTAACAATAATTTGGTCAATTGATTTAGGATGTAATGTGTGAGTCAGTGTAAGTGCAGGCAATCTATGGAATTCTAAATTCTAACAAGTTTTTTAAACTGAAGATATCCTTTCTAGCTTAATTCTTTGTATAATTTATAAAAGTTATTTATCACTGTGGCTTAATTTTAAAAGTCGGTGAATGTGCTAACAGTTAAAATCAAATATTTTATTCGTAAAGTGATCATTATATGCATGCAGTAAGTATGTTTGCGATAAAAGGTCTTGCCTGAAATTTATTTTTTCATCCTGACAAAGAATAATTAAACATACAATATAAGTGTAGAAATATACAAATCCAACCTTATTATAATAGTAAAAGAAGTCAACAAGCACTGTCGTCAACATGGCGTACTACTCCAGACCCACACAAAACAAATTAGCACAATTGATAATTGTAAGGCGTATTAACACGTAGACAGTTACAAAGTATATTCAATCAACCATTTGATTTGTATACTTAAATAAAATCACTAAGAACCTTGAGTTTGTGAATGTGTAAATGATATTTTTGAACTATTATATTGTAATATACAAGAAAGTAATCAAACAAGAACCTTGAAGTTATAAGTCATCCATTTGAGATAAGTATGATCATGTTTACCAAATTCATCTATTTTTTTTTTAAAGATGAATTACTTATTAATTTAATATGTCAGATGTTATTTATTTTCCTGAACAACCTGATTAAAGAAATTAAAATTTGTGAATTGCGTAGCGACTGTGGTTTGATGTCTGTGAGGTTAAGTGTCCTTGACTGAAAATGGAAGAGTCCAAAGAATAGGAAAAAGTTCGGCAAACTTTGTTTAGGTTTTTTATCGTGCTTGAAATTTATTATAGTTGATAGATTGAACATAGAGGAGAAATAAACCTGTCAAAATAAAGGCACTGATGGATTCTTACCGTGATTCAGCAAATTTTTTTCTGTGGAAATATAAGGAAAGACAACAACCGCAAAGTTTCTGAAATTTCTATTAAATTTCCAATTTGAATACAACATGTTTGTTTATTCAATCATTGGACAAGATGGTATGGGGAGATACCACATCAAACTCGTTGGTCACTAAGAAATAGGGCCATAGTGCAAATATTAAAGATATACTATCTATGGTTATTATGCTACAATAAATCTTTATTAGCTTTCAGTTAAAAATTACATAGGAAGAAATGAAAATTCTTTGTCATTCAAGTAACAAACATTTAAAAAAAACTTCACCTGCTTATTGGAAATATTCAAAAGTGAACACATTCAACATAGATAAATTTAGTTTGCACTGATTATATTACCAACAAACCTTAAATTCATTTACCAATTCTGTGCAATAGAATATAGGAAATATATGATGGTGAGGATTTTTTTCCATTTTCATTTTCAATCATTGTTCCGATCAATGTTTGTTGAGAGAAGAGTTCTGGATCATTAATTATAATAGAATGTTATTTTCCCTCAATATCCTGTCTAGTTCTTAAGTACTTTGATTAATATTGGTCAGTAATTAAAATATCCACTGATTCTGATTACATGCCGTTAACAGCTGGTGGCCTTCTTCATTTATTTTGCGCTACACTGTGCAACCAGCAAGCATCTAACAGGATACACATTCTCAAAGATTACGTTTGACGGTAAAGCAGTCTGATATAGGGTCTACTGTATTCTGTACTGATACAGGTTCTCCCTCCAATTAAAGACCACTTTTGGGACTGGGGTTTTCATGGTCTTTAGCAGATTTGGTCACTAATTAGAATAATAATAATAATAATAATAATAATAATAATAATAATAATAATAGACATTTGTTAATTTTGGGCAACAGTACAGTAGTCTTTAATTTGAGGTGGTCTTTAATTGGAAGGGTCCTTAATTAGAGGGACACCTGTAATTAAATTTTTTCTATTACAGGTGATTTGGTAACTGTACAGTTCACCCTCCAAAGAGACCACTGGCTAGTAGACAGTGCGATTGTAATTGGTTCCATAGATATTTAATCTATTTACTATCACTGTTTAACAATAGATTAAAGTGTCGCTGTCTTTTGAAATTTCATATCCCTATTTTCGGTGTAATAATAATAATCATATATGTTTATCCTTGTCTTGTTTATTTGCATAAAGACAGGAACAACTGTTTTATACAGGATGCAAAAATCTCTTTCTGTGTTCATTTTGTTATTTGCATACAATGACATATCGGTAATTATTCTTTCAATTGTTTTTACAGGTGAAAACAAAGCTACAGCATCCAACACGTTATCACGTACAGGCGAGACAGAAGCAACAGGTAAACGAGTACCTATCGAAGTCGACATTGTCACCAGGATATCTGCAACAATTGTCTCCAAACCGCAATGGCTCACAGTCCAGTATGCCGAACAGTCCTATGTCAGGCACAGAAGTAAGTTGTTACTTCAGCGTTAAATTATTTTAAATTCATTCATATTAAATTATTCGTTCATTTGCTTAAGCATTTTAGGATGTGTGTGCATAATTTCGTCAAGCAGTAAATGAGAAAGATTACTTTCCACCTAATCAGAATTTGCAAGGAAGACTAGTGGGTGTATCATGGGACCTTTTATGTGGGTGACCAAAGGAATTATGGAGAATTCCTAAAGATAATATCTTTCATTTTCCTTTAGGATAATAATACAGTATATATTTATAAAAAGAAAGTATTTCAAAAACCTGTAAAATTAAATATCTTTGTATTATAGTATATAAATATGTATAAAAGCTTAATCATCTTAATTCATTAGTTGTGATATTGACAGTTATAAATTTTAAAGGTGAACAGGTAAAGTTCCTTGTTAATTAGGACAAGTAAAATATTTATTAGTCGCTCATCTCTTATCTGTCATCTCAATATATTAATAATAATATTAATAATAATTTTGGCTTATATAGCGCATTATGCTAAAGCCTCAATGCGTTTAACAATAAAAATAAAATTTAAGAAAAGTACATATTGTGTGAATAGCAATTGTAATTTTCATATTCCTTTTCTTTATGTAAATTAATTATTACTAGCACAAAAGTTTAATTTTTTTTTAAATTAACAAAAAGTGGAGGAACTCCACAATTTTTTTTTTTGGGCCTATAAATAATTTGTAATTTTGATAAGATTAAGAAGTGATTCTTTGAACTGGTTCTGACAGTAGTTTCTGATATTTTTTTTTTGCAAATTGCCATCATCATTCGCATTTAATATCTTGAATATATCTTGTTAGCTTTCATGTGATCACAAAGAAGTTTATTCCCCACATTTGGTCACCTGGGACGCTAATAATTTCCCCTCGCTCAACTGCCAAATGGTTGTTGCATTTCTTGTTTATTTTTAGCCCTGCCTTATCAGTATCATCTCCAATTTAGATAAGTCAAAATCATCCTGTTTAGGCGATCCGTGGTTTTCCTTCCTGGGTCAGCGGAGAATTGGGTCCCCTTGGAAAATTAGTGTGACATGCCGTTGACATGGCAACTGTTGCTTGAAATGTATGCTGGGAAACCGGAAGGCATCCAGACGTAACGTTTTATGTCAACAGATTTAATTTATATTAAAAATCTTACGATGTCAATTTTGACATATTCCTACAAATATTCGTCTGGAAAGCATAAATTCAAAATTAAATGCTTGGTTATCTATTAATCCCATTGGTACTTTTTAGAAATTCAGAACATATGTATAATCTTATATAATTTTTTATGGAGACTACTTAAGAAAATATTTAAATTATTCTACCTTTACAGTGTATGTTATATTCTGTACATAATTTTCATTCTTAACTGTTAAATTTACTATGCAACATTTTTTCCATTATTTATTAAACATAAATTTTACATTTTTACTTGATATTGTACACAGGACTTGTGCTTTTATATATTTATTTTTAAACTAAATTTAATTGAAAAGTGAACCATTAATCAATTGTTCATCATCTATGACATCACTTCAGAACTCATCACAGCAGTATAAACAAAACAAATGAGTTTATAGATAATGCTACCAATTATCCATAGATTTATATTAGATATTAGACATGTTTATTGATAGTCATTTAATCAATGGACTGGTTATGTGTCTTTATTCAGCTTCTCAACAAAACGATTTTCCTTTTTTGGACAAATAAAGTTTCTGTATTCTGTTATGTTGTACTGATACTAGAATTAACATAAACCTTTACCATACATGTTTAAAAGATATTATTCATAAAGTTGTTTGCATTGTGCAGATGCAGTAATGTCAACAGGAAGTAATTCAATATGAAACTGAAAGTGCAACAGGGATGCTGTGACCCTGTTTCAAATTCTAATTCCTGTTTTTTAAGAGTATTTAATTAAATTGTTGTGGTATATTTATTTGTTTACTTAAATCTAGTGATATCCATATCCTTTTGTTCAACTTCCCAGCATCTTTGCACTTCCTTAAAAATTAATTTTGCGATCTGACAAGATGATGAGTGGTCATGTAATGTCTTGTCACATGATATTACATATTTGATGTCATTGGTTGATGGGCATTTTGAAATCATACGAGCTATTATAATTTTTTGTTGTGTCTTCATACCATTATTTAAAAAATTATTCATTATTTAATATTGATTATATATATATTGATTATGTATATAAAAAAAAGGTTTAAAGGGTTTGTTCAAAGACGATGCCCATGCTGAGTTAATAATAATATTTATTTGGCAAAAGTATACAGAATTAAAATAACATATATTGCCTAGATAGGGAATGGGCCCGAACAAGATATGCTCCCTGTCCTTCATATCATCATTCACATCACGAACTAACACAATCAAAGTAGACTGTGTTAGTTTACAGTAGAGCGTCAAAACGAGCGCGTATTAGTTGTCAAGCAATTTTGTGCTTATTTTGACGCGCTTTCTTGATTTCACAAACTAACACAATCTACTTTGATTGTGTTAGTTCGTGATGTAAGCGACGATATTATGAAATAATAATGATAATACTAATAGTACATTCCAAAAAAGAAAAAAAAACCAATCAAAATTAATCAGAATCATAAAATGATATAAAATGCTTAACTACATATAAATTATTCTTAAAAGAGTGAATGATAAATTTGTAATATTGAATTATTTATTTTTATTTTCTTTCACTTAAAATTTAGATCAAAAAATATTTTCCTTTTCAATTTAAAACTTAAGTAACACAGTATGTAACATTCCCAGACTTTTCTTACTTATGGTCGAAGTGAACGTAGCAGTGGCACTCTGGTTCTTTCTGTTGTCTTCTTGTCTCCTTGGTTGTTTCTCTTTGTTAGTTTTTTGATATTTCTCAGTTTTTGATTGTTGTTCTTTTTAAGTACATAAATACTCCTGTATTATATATAAATATATTATATATATACATACAAATACACAGCCATTACCATACCATATTGACAGAAAATTCAGATATATCGCCATCTAGATTTAACATAAAAACTAAAATATAATATTCAAAAAGGAATAATAATAGCTGAATATTTTTATTTTAATTGGTTATTAGCTGGAAAAAAAAAAACTAATTAAAAAAATTCCATTCCAGTAGTATAGTCTATACAATGAATGCCAGCAGACTTCAGGAATTTCCTAATATTATGTCTGTAAATCATTGATAGCTATTTTTTTTCTGCGATTCACTGAAATTTGGTAACTGATCGTTCATTTAAATTTGCAAGTCAAAATTTAATTTCATTGTGGTATTTATTTGATTATTTATGTGGTAGTATGTCTTTTACATTTTCTGTAGTGAAATCAGCAAAAGCTTGTCTTTTTAGTCGGTTATAAAATGTATCTGAGCAATTTGGTATTTTGTACCATAGGAAGGTTTTCCAGATGTTAATACAGACTCATCATTAACGCCAAATATGATTGGTTAGTCATTATCATCGTCAGAAAAGTTTTAAATGGATGAGGACACTATATGTTCTGTATATGATTAGATATAATTGATAGCATTCTGTCTATGATAGGAAACATTGCAATTAAGCATAAATGTGGGCTTGCAGTGTTTCCGTAAAGACCTTGGATTGAAGTTTAAAAATCAAGAGACAATGTCAAATTTTATGACTATAAATTGACAAACTTTACCATAAAAATATAGTATAAATAATCATTATTTGGTTACTTTTTTTTTTTAATTTGTGTCTGATTATAAGTTGGTTCAACTCTTCACAGTATTGGAGAGCCCCAATGTTTTACAGTACACTTTGGGCCATCTTTAGGACATTATAGTGGGTATTTGTTTTCACTATTTAAACTTCGATTTTTAGTTTGTTACTTTTTTATTTGTCAGTTGACACCAAATAGAGTAAAAAATAAACAAGCTTAAAAAACACTAAATTGTAGTGCTGCTACTATATTTTGATTGGTTTATCTGCGATAGCAATTTTAATAAATAAATAAATAGCATTAGAAGGAAAGGTCTTGTGATTGTGAGTTCACATCCTTCATTATTTAATACTAAATATTGAGTTTGTATCATTTGATTGCGAGTAATAACTATTAGCTTGCAGTTTTATTTTTAACTAGTTTGTTTTAGCTCATGATTCTGACGATGATAATTCTTGGGGACCTCCACCCCTCGCGTTACCAACAGGCACAGATCCCCGGTTGAATTTTTACATCAGATGCACGACTCACTCTTCTTGTTCCACTATGTGCTGATCTCTTACGTGGGTGAGTTGGACCTTTCCAAGTTTTCTGACGTAAATTCCTACTTAAGACATGACAGCTCGGGATTCCCTCAGACAAATGTGTCTCTCTTACGAAAGCAAATTTTGAAAAGTGTTCTTAGTCATAATCATAGTTTATATTACAGATTTCTTCTGACTTAAGTTTGTGTCTCCCAGTAACACCTTACTTGATCATATGAAATTATATCAAGTAGATCATTTTAAAGTTTGTTATATTCATTCCAGAAATTTAGATTTAATCATGTCTAAGTTTATGTCCCAAAGTGATTATTCAATGCTACAAAAAATCTGGAGCAACTATTATATTATCCTTTCTTTGTTTATTGCCCAAAAATGATTTATTATTAATATTTAACATTTTTTTATATATTAAACTTATTGTTAGTTTCTCAAGAAAATAAACATTGTTCCTTTAAGTTTTTGTCTATTGATCCTTTAGGATTTGCCTATTAAACCTTTAGGATTTGCCTATTGATATTTTAAGAACCAACTATTGGTCCTTTTCCGATCATATTGATCATATTGAAATTGATCTTTTAAGATAAGACTATTGAGCCCTCTGATCTACATTTATTCAGATATAAAATTCATAACATATACAAACATTGACTAATTATCCTTTAATAATTCATTATTGGCCCTGTGAGCATTTACAATGGGAAGATAGATTCATGAGGATCAATTTGAGGACTTCT